GCATTAGCAAGTCCCAAAACAGTTGTCAGATGTCAGTATCAAAATAAGATATAGTATGATTGCCAATGAGACAATTTTCCAGCAAAGTCCAAATGATGTAAAAGTTAGCAACAACAGGTCACCGTTCAGACTTCAACAATGAGAAAAATCCATAATGAATAACAAACTATAAAAGGCCACGACTTGACAATTTTGAAGTAAAATCAAAAGCTTTAATTTTTCTATGCTTTACACTACTACTCACATTCTTAATTTAAAGAACCACACAGATTCCCACAACAAAAATACCGAAGATGATATTAAAATGCTTGAGCTTTTATCGACAACATATTTGTTGAGTTTTTGGTGGATTGATAATTCAGCATACCGTTGGTATTCCAATGGGTACTAAATGTGCACCACTACTAGCCAACTTGTACTCATATGAAGCAGATCTATACAGAACCATCTTAAAGATAAAAAAAGTTCTTTAATTTCACTTTAAGATATAAAGATGATGTTCTGTCACTCAATAACCCAAATTTCAATGAATGCGGGACAACTCACTTTTGTATGCCCCTGTCAATGCGGAGGGGGCATTAAGTTTTTCCCTTGTCCGACTGTACGTCCGTACGTCCGTCCGTACGTCCCAAAATACGTTTCCGTTCTTTAACTTCAGTTTGCCTCTACCAAATGTTATGAAACTTATACACAATGCTTATTACCACAAAACACAGATCGAGTTTGAATTTGGTGGCATCATTTTTATCGTTCGAGAGTTATGTCCCTTTTCAAATGGAAAAATTGCTGAATTTTTCGTTTCCGTTCTCTCACTTTAGATTGCCTCAACCAAATGTTATGAAACTTATCCACAATGTTTATAACAATAAAACACAGATCAAGTTTGAATTTTGGTGGTGTCACTTTCACCGTTCTAAAGAAATGCCCCTTTACAAATATCAAAATTGCTGAAATATTTGTTTCTGTTCTCTAACTTTGGTTTGCCTCAACCAAATGTTATGAAACTTATCCACAATGTTTATAACAATAAAACACATATCAAGTTTGAATTTTGGTGGTGTCACTTTCACCGTTCTAAAGTTATGCCCCTTTACAAATCTCAAAATTGCTGAAATATTTGTTTCTGTTCTCTTACTTTAGTTTGCCTCAACCAAATGTTATGATACTTATGCACAATGCTAATTACCACAAAACACAGATAAAGATTGAATTTTGGTGGCGTCACTTTTACTGTTCTAGAGTTATGCTCCTTTAAAAATGGAAAAAATTGCTGAATTTTTCGTTTCTGTTCTCTAATTTGAGTTTACGTCAACTAAATGTTCTGATACTTATAAACAATGCTTATTACCACAAAACTCAGATCAAGTTCAAATTTGGGTAGTGTCACTTTTACAGTTCTTGAGTTATGGCCCTTTATAACGTTATATGCAAGCGGGGGCATCATCTGTGTCCCATGGACACATTCCCCATTTATTTAATTATGTTTTGCAAATTCAGCAACATGCAAATGAAATTGTCATGCTAAATATAAAATTTAATAAATATAATCATTTATATAGTTCAAATCCTCTTTTAATACTATGTCCGAGTTGTCATAAAAGACGGTCCCAGTTGACTTATTGACAGGCCGAGTTGACCGAGTAGTAGGTCTGATTTGACTCGGTCCGACTTGTCTCCGGGCCGAGATGTCCCACATTTTTACCTATTGTCAATTTCCAATTTCTGCGTAGTAACACCCTCCGCACGGCGTTAATATGTCTCAATTAATATGTTCAGATGTACATGCTATACAAACTTATTAACAGGGGTGTGGTTTTTGCATAGGTGGATCCAGGGGGTGGGTTGATTATACAGGAAATCATCGAAACATGACTGGAGCGAGCCCCCCCCCCCCCCCCCCCCCCCCCTTATAAAAAGTTCTGGATCCGCCACTGCTTTGCACAACAAATGCTCCGAGTTATTATTAAGAACAACTGAAATCGACACTTTGTCAGTTCAACAATCACTATCACTAACTTGTTGACAGATACGATATGTCTGGACTCACTAGCGACATGTTTTCCAGATCTTAGATCTATATATTCCAGTATAGTTGTCTGATCTGTAATTTTATCGACTGTTTCCTTATCCTGAGTGTGATATTTTGACCGATTGAATCCACCTAACGGGTGATACATGCATAGCATGATATGCGTACCCTGTCGACGCACCTGGTCTTGCTGATTTTGGAGTTGATGTGATTCCCTCATGGATTGTTCATTACTTTAGCTTATCCCTTCTCAAGATTTGAACATTTGTAAAAAGTAAAATCACAAAAATACCGAACTCCGAGGAAAATTCAATCGGAAAGTCCCTAATCACATGGCAAAATCAAATGACAATACACATCAAACGAATGGACAACAACTGTCATATTCCTGACTTGGTACAGGCATTTTCAAATGTAGAAAATGGTGGATTGAACCTGGTTTTATAGCGCTAAACCTCTCACTTGTACGACAGTCTCATCAAATTCCGTTATATTTACAACGATGCGTGAACAAAACAGACATTATAAATAAAATAGTCAAAATATGGGCACAGCAGTCATCACTGTGTTACAATATCAAAACAAACAATTATTTACAAAAAAGCACAAAAGCATCTATCAAATTAAAAACCACTACTGTTGTGGTACAGAGGCGAAAGATATCAAAGGGTCATTCAAACCCACAAGTCGAAAATAAACTGACAATGCCATGGATAAAAAGTAAGACAGACAAACAATAGCACACTCCACACAACATAGAAAACTAATGACTGATCTGCTTTCCCATTCTGAGCACCTGAGATCACTCCCAGTTAATGGTGGGGTTCGTCTTGCTCAGTCTTTATTTTTCGATGTTGTGTTTTGTGTACTGTTGTTTGTTTTTTTTTTGCTAGGCGTTGTCAGTCGGCCCAATAATTTCCCGAAATCTCCCAAAAACTGAATATTTGCCCGAGAACCGATAAATATCTTTATCATATGTATATTGCGCGCCTTTTTTGCTTTCATTGTAAAGAAAATCAAATCATATCAATACAAACGATGTTGATCTTTTTATAGTTCATGCGATTCGCTGAGTTTTTGTCTTTTTCCTTGGATTGATGAGACTTGAACATCGTTGAAATACAGTTGCCTCAAAATTTGTAACCTAATACCTTAACTCTAACCAAGAGCTCTGCCTTAACCAGATGATTTTTCCAAGAATATTATCCATTGAAGAAGAAAATGATATATGCAAGTGTTTTATACACATGTCAATGTTTTAATTGGCAGATAAAACGTCGAAAAAAAAAGCCAATGTCCATTAAAAGATATTTCTAATTCAATTATTTTGTATCAATAGTTCTGGTTAGATGACAATAGGCGTAAAATTTTCTATCTCCCTGTCTGTAATTAATGAAGCCGACATTTTGAATACCAGAATGTATTGACATGTAATTTCACCAATATGAAGTCAAAAAAACTGAAATAATGACTAAAATTGAATGATTTGTTTATTTTGCATTAGTATAATGATAACTGTACTCTATTTGAAGCTTTGCGGATGTCCATCGGTAGTTTTATTGTCACAAATATCCGTTTACATGTCTCCGCTAGGCATCGCCAAGTAAACTAAATTTGCGACAGTAAAACTACAGACGGATGTCCGCAAAGCTTCAAATACAATACAGTTATCTCTAAAGTATAAAGACTTCCTATTAATGGATAATGGTTTCAATATATTCTGGAAGGCATTTTCTACATTTGCTTATGGTTTGATCGATGATTTGAAACATCTGCTATCTGGGCAATTGTTTGAATAGGGACTTGTAAAATATACAATGATATTTTGTCGCCGCAAAGGAACATTTGTTTTCATCAGGTCTTCTTCGTCTTTGAATGAATGTTTCTACTGATAAACAGTTTATCCCTTTCATTGCTCGAAAAAGAGCTTCCAGCTACCGGTCTTTAGTAGGCTTTGTGCTGCTCAGTCTAGTTTTTTATGTTGCATTTTGTAAACTGTTGTTTGTCTTTTGGTCGCATCTTTTTTTGCCATGGCCTTGTCAGCTTATGAGTTTGAATATGCCTTTGGTATTTTTCACCTCGGTTCTGATTTTGTGAATGGTTGGACTGTCAAACTCACCGTGTTGATGCTGTTTTGATTTTATTGCACAATAAACTGCTTCGCCAAGCGCAGCTGGATACGACCGCAGAGGTCCAACCCTGAACAGTTGGGGCAAAAAGGGACACAATATTCAAGCTTGATACACGTCTGAATTTGGATTGTAATTAAATATTTGACACATTATAGGTTTCTGACACAGAATAAATGTAGTCAAAGAGCTTAAAATTGGTTATATGATTTGAATTTATATTCAATTGAAGATTTCTTGCTTTTGTGCAATACACTGTGCACTGTGATATTGCGCATTACTTAGTAAATCTGTTTTCAGACTATATACAAAAAATTAGCAATTGTGACCTCCAAATTTTGTTTGGAAAATTGACAATTTCTTAAATCTTGCAGATAAAAAAAATTCTTTTTTGTAAAATCTGGTGCAGTTTAAGAGACGTCAATACACTTAAACATGAGTTATTGTCTGAAAACTAGAAAAATGCTTGTTTTAGACCCTTTTTGGTCCCTAATTCCTGAACATTGGGCAATAACCCCCAAAATGAATCCCAACCTTCGACTTGTGGTATTGAACCTTGTTGTACAATTTCAGAGCAATCAAAATACTTATACACAAGTTATTGTCCTGGGCACCTTTTTGGCCCATAATTCCTAAACAGTTTAGACCACCACCTCCAAAAACAATCCCAACCTTCCTTTTGTGGTATTGAACCTTTTGCTTAAATTTCAAAGAGATCCATTCACTGAAACTCAAGTTATTGTCCGGAAACCAAATGTCTTCAAACGACAACGACGCCGACGCAGACATAATAGCATTTTACGATCCCCAAAATTTGTTTATAATGAATAAAAACAAGAACATGTATGTATTTTGTTTTTACCTTAAAGGAAGGTAGACTGCATTAACAGTTTATACATGTATATAAGTAGAAGATACAACTAAAACACAAATAGTGATTCAATAATCACATCAACAACAAACACAACGGTATCATAACATATTAAATTTGTAGATTACAAAGTCACTAGGTATTTAAAATAAAACAGTTGTGCTAATGCAAAGAGTTTGAAGGCAAAATGTATAAGCATTGAAAAAGGTTGACAAATTTAAGACAAATCAGGCTTAGGATTTTTTTATACACGTTTGGAGTGATTGAGTACAAGGAGAACATTATCAAGCGTGAAATCGGACTATCATTGTTGCAAAATAATTTCTGACAAAATCTTATCACTATTAAATATTAAAGAATATTTTAACATGTTCATATAAAATCAATATAAATAGTTAATAATGGAATAAAGGTTATAAGTGGAAGAAAATCAAATAACTATGAAACACTGTCCCAGGTTAGGTGAGGGTTGAGCGCTCACAAACATGTTTAACCCCGCCACATTCTGTATGTGCCTGTCCCAAGTCAGAAGCCTGTAGGTCAGAGGTTGTCGTTGGTTCACGTCTGTCATATTTGTTTTTCATAAATTGTTTTGTTATAAATTAGGCCGTTAGTTTTCTCAATTGAATTGTTTCATATTTGTCATGTTGGGGCCTTTTATAGCCGACTTTATGGTATGGGTTTTTCTCACTGTTGAAGCCCATACAGTTGCCTATAATTGCTTACTTCCACATTATTTGAACTTTGGTGGATAGTTGTTTAATTGGCAATCATATCAAATCTCCTTATTTTTATTTACAAATTTTGATATTGGCGATGAAAGGAAAAGGGGGTTAAATTTTGTAAAACTGACAATGAATATTGCAATTGAAATTATACACACTCAACTCCTTCAAATAAAACAGACGTACAACATAAAAAAAACTCATAAAAGATTTCAGGCTTATCATTGTGAACATTATTGTATTCCTCGTTTATAAAAAAAGTAAAATATCAAAAATATAAGGTTCAGGCATTTTCTAATGTAGAAAACGGTGAAATAAACCTGGTTTTATAGCTAACTAAACATCTCACTTGTATTACAGTCACATAAAATTCTATTATATTGATAACAATGTGTGAACAAAACAAACAGACATGATAGATAAAAATGTCAAAAAAAGGGGTACAGCAGTCAACATTGTGTTATAATCTTGATCACTATAAAAAAAAAAGAAAAATATATCAACAAAGAAAAACAAAATGGCATATAGACCAAAGCACATAAGCAAAAATGAAAGACAAGAATACAAAAATGTCCATAGCACAATAACACAATGGCGGGATGTTGAAGTACTGAGCCTCACCAAAAGGGTATTACCAAACAAGAGGCTCTCAAGAGCCTGAATCGCTCACCTGTAATTTTTTGCTTAAATCTTTCATCAATAATTATTTTTGCTTTTCAATATATGTCAATGAGTGGCTTAAAAATGCCATTTAAATGTTCTTTGTATCCGTCATATTTTCTTCAAAAGCAAAAAAAAGGCATCTTACCCCTATGTTCCATTTTATCCATAGTGGCTATGTTTCTTGACATACAAGGAAATAAAATAAAAAAATTATACTAGATACTCTGAAACTCACTCAGCCCAAGTTTGGCTAAAATTGATTCAGCAGTGTCAAATGAGAAGATTTTTTAAAGTAAGCAGTCTAGATGAACAAATTGTGAAAAAATTGTCTTTGAAGGGCAATAACTCCTTAAAGGGGTCAATTGACAATTTGGTCTGATGAAACTTATTTGTAGATCTTACTTTGCTGAACATTTTTGATGTTTACAGTATATCTTTATCTATAATAATATTTAAGATATTAACCGAAACCTGCAAAATTTCCTTAAAATTACCAATTTAGTGGCAGCAACCCAACAATGGGTTGTTAGATTCATCTGAAAATTTCAGGGCTGATAGAACTGGAAATTATGAACATTGTATCCCATATCAGATTTGCCAAAAACTGCATTTTACCCCTATGTTCTATTTTTAGCAATGGCGGCCATGTTTTTTGACGAAACAGACAATAAAACACAAACATTATTTTAGATACTCTAAGAATCATTCAGCTGAAGTTTGGTTGAAATTGGTTCAGTAGTTTCAGAGGAGAAGATCTTTGAATTTTTTTATCCCGGACGGACGACGGACGCCAAGTGATGGCAAAAGCTCACAGTTCCTTTGGAACGGTGAGCTAAAAAGTGAATAAACAGTAACAGTAATTTACAAACACAAGAAAAGAACACTACAACACGTAATTAGGATGATAAACAACGTCAGTAACTAAAATCTATACTTCAAGACCATCATGTGTTATTGGTGAACTTGATAAGGAATATTTATCAACAAGGTCTTGGTATCTTCTGATGAATTTTAGCAAAAGATTCATCAGTTATGACTGAATAAAAATGATAAAAGGTCAAATCAAGCAGGAACTTGAATAGCATTGAGCTAAATCACTAACAAACAACACATGGTGCAGATAGCCTGAGTTAGGACAGGCCGGACATTTGCTTGGGTGTAGGTCTACAAATGGTTTTTGACATTTGATATGTTCTCAAACACTTTCAATTCTTTGAAAATATAATATAATTAAACAATTATCACTGATCTGTTTGGATTTAAAATCCTATTTTCTGATGGTTGAAAGATAAGTTCATTTGACAGAACAGATGCGTTATGTCAAAAACATTCGTTGTGGAATACCATCTTATGTAACAACACCTATATTTACATAATAAGAGCATATCGTTGCATTTTTGTTCAAAACTATATTTATGAAGACACAATTTTATTTACAAAAGTACATTTAAAAGTAGATGTTTGATAAACACAATATACAACAAGCTAATGTCAAAAAATTCAGCAACACCTTAAGGACAAGATTCAGTCTCTGATTATTTATTTCATATGTGCATACTTTATTATTCATTAGACTTAAAATGTAGACCTAATTTGACTATAAAGGTAACATTAAACAGCTTTAAGAGATTAACATACAAAGTTAGGAATGAACTGAAATTGATAACCTAATTGCAGCTATGTAGGTTGTTCAAAATTTATCAATATAGTACATATAGTATATTGTATTAAGTTATGACATTTTTTTTAGGTTGCACTTTGTAAATACAGCTGTTTCACAAACCACGCCTCTTTTGGGATATATACTATTGATAGATGTTTTGTTTACCTACTGGTTCCCAGATATGATATCTATGTTTCATTTACAGAGACACATCTTGGAAACTTTACCAGTATGAATGCACATGGATAGCGGCCAAATAAAATTCTGAGAAGGACCAAATATTAAGTGAGAGGAAGTACATAATTTTAGTATAGGTTTTAATTCTTGGAAGTTCGAGGCATATAAATGTTGAAAATATGCCGCACAGCCATATTTTTTGACCTTTGAAAAAAAAAAGTTGTGCATATGAACTTTCCAATTACGGGTTTCCGATATTTTATATTAAAATACATTAAAATTATTTTCTTGAACAGAATATGTCATGACTGTTTCATAATCATCATATCTGTTTAGGAACGAACACTAGTAAAAGGGATTTGTGTTAACGAATGAACACTCGTAAAAAGGGTTAGTACATATTTTAGCTTTTTCCTTGCCACTCACACATGAAATATGTTTAATATAAAAGATTGTTATCACTAGTATATTGTGATTCATTCGCATTGATGGTTTAAGTGACCAAATCATTAAGCATTGGATTGACAATACCTACTTCTATTGATTGCTTACTGGTGTTTGTCTTAGTTGTCTTTATCTTGTCGTGTACAGTTGTTTTTATTTCTGAAAGAAATTACATTTATCTTATTTCAAGCATTTATGAAGGGTTGCGATATCAGTGCTCGTAACTTCCGTCTTTTCTATTTCATCTGCCAGATCTGCATAAATTGAGTCTTTTCGTAGGGCTTTGAGAAATTCATTAAATCCCCGTTCATTTTTATGTAAAAGCATGTCCATTAACGTCCTGTTCTTTTCCTGTGGGGTTTTACCAGATTCTATCTTCTTTCCATCATCAACTGACACTACCTCTCTTGTTATTAGATGATCTACTATGCTGTCATGTTGTATATCAGTAATGATCTTGATGTAATTCTTCTGTAGACGAACTTTATACAATGGAACATTCCAGTCTGATAAGCCTACAAAATATAAAAAGATTTTTTTTCCTAAGTGCTATTGACCTTTCATAACTGAAGATGGAAGGTAAATCCAAAAATAATGATTCGAACGCATAAAATTTATAGCGCGTTGTTTTCATTTTTTACATCACGGGGTCGATACCTCTGCAGGTGGACTATCAGTCCCTGAGGGTATCATCAGCTCAATAATCAGTACTTCGGTACTGACATGATTTATAACAAACCTTTCTTAAACTTTCCGTTTATAAATTTTAAAATTATGAAGAAACTAAGGTTTCAACTCCCTCAGGCAAAGTTTGTCCTTAGACGGATTTGGCTATTCATTTAGGTTTTTTAGGTATACAGCTCTTCAACTATTTCGGTTTTATTCATCCATGTATTTCAAATATTCAGATTTGAGTGTTCCTGATGAAGGTAGCTCAAAAAAGGGTTACGGACACATGAAATTAATAACGTGTTGTTGTCATTGTTTTTAAAACAGGATTAGGTTTTTTGAATATTACAAGTAAACAAATGATAGACATGTGCAATGTCTTATAAAATGTAATGTCTCACGAATAAACTGAGTGTTCACATAGAATTTAATGTCGATATATCTTATTTTTTTTAAGCAAATTGCATATATCATGTATATTGCATAGATTCATATTTCTGCGTTGAAATTATCAAACACACATGACAATGTATGAATACCATTTAACATGTTTAAGAGAGATGGTAAGCATACGATGCACATATATATATAATTTATGGTTAATTGCTAATTTGGTTTGTTATTTTTTTTCTTAATCTGAAAACAAGTTATAGTTGACAAAAACAAATATCTTTGCATTATAAATGTTCAATTGTCTTTTCTACAGTTATAATGCAGTCATGGTTCATTAAGGACTTGTTACCAATCAGGCAAATATGACCTTAGATGAATTTTACTTTTTAGGTCCTTTTTGGTCACAAGTTCATGTCTTATGCATCATTGGCTTTTAAAGGTATGTGTTTGAACATTCCTAATGAAGTTTTTTCAGAAAGAGGCTTCAGACGCACAAGAGAAATCAAGTGTAATTTTCATTTAGAAATGAAAACAAAATATTGAAGAGAAATCTAAGACTGATCATACAAACTTCAGCAATAAAATTGAACAAAATGGCCCTTATCGAACTCTTCCCTTAGTTGTTCAAGGAGAAACCAAAGCAGATGGAATGAAAATTACGCACGTGTATTTATCGATTTTCTGTTTACATTTGTATTTCCTTCATTTTCTTATTTATTTCACTATGGATACTGCCGAAAGTTATAAAAAAGGTGGAGGCATTTCTTGTGCAGTTAATAGTTGTACAAATAATCGTAGAAAATTTCATATGTTGAAAAAAATCAATAAATAAAATATGTGAATTATATAAGTTGTGCCGACTGCACACAACTCCTTTTTTTTTAATAAAACTTGTTATGAAAGTAAAATTACACTGGCAGACAAATGTTGACACGCCGTCAAACGACTGTAAAAAACTTAAATTATCTATGAACATTAATCCGATGACTACAGTTTATCTGCCTTTGTTTGCATAGAATATCTACACATCAGATGCGGCTCCAGGATTTTGAAAAGTGAGGGGGGGGGGGGGGGGGGGGGGGGGGGGGGCGGGTCCCCAAACAAGACACAATTTGTAGTGGAAACGGAAAAAAGTCTGGATTAACTATGAATGAAGCTTCGTAAGGGGGCCCGTGCAACCCCAGATATCCATTCCTGTACATTTCTGTACTGATAATAACAATGAAACCTACCCCGAGGCTACATGCATGTAGTTAGAATTGGATGCAAATCAACCAAGTATGAAGAGACCAACTTTTTTTTATACATGACTACTATCTTTATGCTGCAAAATGGACAGACGTTCCGACAACATTAACTCAGACAAACATATTGGTAACAGAGGATTAAGGAGTTCAAATTGAAAAGGGGGAAACCACGTCAGGGTATAGACATATTATGAATGACAGTTACGCCTTATTGTATACTTATGTAACTAAGTTTTCTTTAATTTAGTGGAATTTACAACATAATTTAATTTTTAACTGCGATATTGCAGATCAGCTGTTGCTCGATCGTACTGATGAAGTTAACACTTTGTTCAATATTTGGTTATTTGGGATGGCGCTTTCATATTTCTAAAAGTAAGTCTTGTAAACTATTTTATTCCTGGGTGCCAGTTCTTGCTGAAAAATATAAAGGTTTTACAAACAGCTGACAAATCCCAGCAACACTTTCTGTTAAGGGCACTTTTCTATAAACCTCGTCTTAATGGTCCATATATGAAGGCATGTGTGCTTAAAGTATGTATTCACTTTGCTGTCTTTATACAACGTATACAGTATTTTCTGCTGAAACTTGATTTGAACTTTCCTCAGTCGATTATTCTGTGCATGAATTATAAAATTTTACACATTAGAAAGGATGTTTCAAAGGTCATAGTAATCAAATAGTTTATTATATACAACGGGGACTGATTCAGGATGAAAATATACGAGACCTCTGTTTTGGGGTGGTAGGGAGGGAGAGTTGTCAAAACACTAAATGACGCTTTTAAAATATATAACTTATCATTGTTTTTAATTTACACGTTTGCGTCTTTTGTGGTTTAATGACATTCATTTATTTTAAGCACAGGCCGGACCACTATTTTATACTATGCATACTAGTAGTTTTATGTCAAGTAATTTTTCTGCAAAGGAAATTGGAATCAAAGACCTAATAACTAAATTCATGCGGAGACAAAAGTGATACGAAAACGTCACTCAATTTTGTGCAGTATACATGAGTCGAACCACAAGCAAAACAATTGCTTATGTGATTTATCATCAAACGGTACATGTCTATAGCTATATTTTTTTCATAAGATGTAAGTAACCGCGCGCCGGAGCAAAAGGGCTGTCGAATTATAGGACCGTCGGATTAGAGGATTGTTGAATTTTAGAACTGCCTTATCATAGGTCTGACCACAGAAATGTCTATGAGTTTGATAAAATTGCACCTGGTTTTTCTGATATATCACATTCGACCCAGCAAGACAATTTAATGTATCTAGGTATGTGTTATAATGATCAATATTATAATTATCAAATGATTATAATCGATATTAAACCTGGAATTAGTATTCGTATATATTATGTCCTGATGTAACGTATCAAATACCGTGAGTTATATTTTAAGGACACGACAGATGGCCTGCAATACACTTATAATTTTAATGTCCATTTCTTATCGAATTACTTTATTATTTATTCTGTAATTTTGCAAAGGTCAAGTACGCTTCACATTCTTGTGTTTACGGTAATTACTGGGTATATGCGGTCTGGGAAATAGATGTATATCTTGTTTACATTTTTTTCACGGTTGTAATGGCGATTACTACTACGAGGACGCCTAGAAGTCGCGTCACAAACTTAGGCAGATGATTGGAAAAACCTGTCTATAAGCCAAAAACTGCATTTTATCCCCATGTTCTTTTTGTAGCCATGGCGGCCATCTTGATTGATAGGCGGGGTCATTGGATACATTTTGTAAACTAGATACCGTAAGGATGATTTAGGCCGAGTTGGTTTAATTTGGCCCAGTAGTTTTAGAGGAGAAGATTTTTGTAAAAGTTAACGACGACAGCCGACAGACACCAAGTAATGAGGAAAGCTCATTTGGCCCTTTGGGCCAGGTGAACTTAAAATGGAAGATGTCTGATACAATTAGGAATACGTTCTTACCCACTTGTCATGTCAAAATCTACTAAAAAGTTGTTTTTATGATATCGTTAAAGAGAAGTGGAAAAGGAATTAAAGCTTACAATAGTTGGAACAAATCCATGGTCATCTTTGACATTGATACTTCATTGCAGTCAACTAAATTTTTATAATGACGAATAAATAGATCCCTAAGAGATTGAGAACTGCCTCACTAAACTATATGAACCACGAACAAAACAGTTTAAACATTTGTAACAGTAGAACTCTCCTTTAAAGAGTTTAACAATAGGATGTGCTCTGATTGTAAATGAGACAACTCTCCACCGCAGACCAAATCTTAAAAGGTTAGAGTTGTTCTTGTGTAAAATGATATGCCTTTATTGTTAGTGACTGAAGGATAATGTACTCATTAGTTTATCTAGCGAACGAGTTAATACGGATAGAGACATTTAGTCTATTAACAGACACGGCTTTAATTTTATATTAGAAACGCCTGAGCGTAAAAGAAACTTTGGATTTTTTAAGCGCTTGACACTAGAAAGTTTTAACAAATTATTTTCCCACATTGATATCCAATGTAATAATCCATAGATGGTTCGAAAGTTAATATTTTTCGTTGATAGAGATATATATTGCTAATACACAGGACTATCAGATACAATTTTTAATCTAGATGTAGTGAAGGTGTGTTTACCATAATGTGAGAAAATATTTACGAAAAATGTATTTCTCATTATGCAGTGATATTTGATATTCTATTGTTTCAAAATATATAAAACTAAAAATAAAGTGTTATCACAGAGATATGTCTCACCTTTTTGTAATTTTGATAATGCAAATGTTTAAATTAAAAAAGCAATACTTTAACATGTAAGTTATGCAAATTATTTAAAAAATATTTTGTGTATTTTTCCTTTGATCTTTTTTTTGTGATAACTTTTCATATCATGCTACTCGCTTGAGATAGCAAATTATCGTCAGAAACTAAGAGCGCACATGCCGTTGTCAATGTAAAAATTAACGACGTCATAGGCAAAATAGCGATAAACAGATTATCAATGGTCTTTCAAACTCGAGGATGTTTCTTGGCCACATCTCATTTCAGGGCTGAAAATTTTCACATCTCCAGTTGTGACTTGACAACTCTGTCACATGTATGCAAATATTCAAAGTTGATGAACCATGTCTGAAGGTACATGGCTAAGTAATTTCAATGGGAATGAGATGTGCCAGTGCTAATACAACTGCATACCAAACACCATTGACTTATTATAAGTCATTCCCTTTAAATCAACCTAAACACAAACATCAACTTGTAAACTATGTAAAAGTTTCAAAGTCAATGAACCATGATGAGCGGGTGGGGCTATATAATCTCCATGGAAAGGATACTTGCAAATGCCAATTAATGTGCATACCAAATATCTTAACATTAGCAGTTCATCTTAAACTGATCTAATCACAAACTAATACATGTAAACTAAGCAAAAGTTTCAAAGTCAATAGACCATGACTGAGGGGGCAGGGCCAAATATTTTCCATGGCAATGAGATGTGCTAATAATAATACAACTGTATACCAATTAACAATGGCCTACCACTAATGGTTCCCCTTGAACTGACCTAATCACAAACTAATTCATGTAAACGAAGCAAAACTTTCAAAGTCAATAGACCATGACTGAGGAGACGGAGCCAAATAATCTCCATAGAAATGAGGTTATGCCAATGCTTATACGACTGCATACAAAATATCATTGACCTACCACTAGTGGTTCCCCATAAACTGACACAATCACAAACTAATACATGTAAAATAAGCAAAAGTTTCAAAGTCAATAGTCCATGACTGAGGGAGCAGGGCCAAATAATCTCCATGGAAATGAGATGTGCAAATGCTAATACAACTGCATACCAAATATCACTGACCTACCACTTGTGGTTCACCTTAAACTAGACCTAATCACAAACTAATACATTATTGACGCCGCCGCCGGAAACAGCATACCTATGTCTCGCTTTTTGACTCCGTCAAGGCGAGACAAAAATCAAAAACATTGTGAGGAACTGTTGCACTTCTAGAAGGTATTATAATAATTAAATACACTCTGTGTTGAATGTCACAAGAACATGCAGTATCACAAAAGTATTATAAGTTCAGTATAAACCTTCTTTGCTTGTGTTTATAATAAAGCCTGCAGCCATACCTTCATCTTTAGCAGATACTAATGCTGTAATTGGACTAATCTCCTGTAAATCACATTTCAAATCATTAGCGATATCCTCGTATCCATAATTACGTAATCCATCAACAAAAACACTGTAAGCAGGTTCTCTCCTTTGAATCACAATATCCAGCAATGCTTTGTTCTGATCATCTTGTCGATGATAATGTTCAATATCACGTCTGTCGTCTGCTGATATCACCAGATGTGTCATCATATGGTCTAAAATTTGGCTGATTTGTATGTCCTGTTTGATTCTGTTTTCGTTTTCTCTGATTCTATCTGTAAATGAGCAAATTGGATTATTGACCAAAATAAATACATGTGTATAGTGGATCTGCAAGTAAAACAATGCTTTAAATGCTTACATTGTTGTTGTGTATAAAATGTTGTTGGCCCAACAAACATCATTCATTTATAAGAGAAGTGCAATGGAATGTATACAAAGATTAAATAAATTTGAGTGTTATTCAAAATTACACAATATGAATATTTATATATATATGAAAAAGAAATCGCATAATTAACATTCACATGATACCTAACTGTATTCCACTTATCCTAAATTTTCCAATTGCAATAAACATGCATTTTAGTTGATTGGTCATTTTGTTATACCAAAGAAGCAATACTTGAAAGACGTATTATCAATTTTAAATAATAATGCACATTTTGGTTAAGTAACATTGAGTGGTAGCCTATCTGTCTAAATATTTCAGAGAATAAGAGAGATACAGAATGTGTCAGTCATTAAGTAGCACGAAGTAATGACCGCATATTGATGTCAATACATCCAATAGTTTCAGCAAGAATCGTCATGTTAAATTCCCAGTATAAAATGGACAAAGAGAGGCGAAAGATACCAGAGGGACATCCAAACTCATAAGTCAAAAATAAACTGACAACGACATTGCTAAAAAAGAAAAAAAAAACCAACAGACAAACAATAACTACATATGAAAACACCTACCCATTCCAATAAAGGATAGCTTTCTGCAGCAAGTGTTTTGGGAGTTGTCATCACTTGGCGTTATTAAGCTATAATTTACAACTAGTGATCAGGGTCTTGTAGCGGCAGCTTAAAACGTCAACAAATGGTAGTAGAAAAGAGATTGTTGTTTAACCATATGATGAGGTACAATATAAGTGCCAACTTTCTATATATTTCACAGATTTTATGCATAATTTCATTTAACAAAGATAACACAATGAACAAAATATGCCCATCTTTTTTAAAATGTTGCACTGGTTTCTCTTCAAATTAAATTGGGACATTTTAGACATAAATTTGGAAGAAAGATGTTTTTTTATCAAATCGTGTCACTAGTTTAGAAAGAGCGATGGATGCGAAGTGCATAAAAACTATACATTACTAATATAAACCTTTGATATAAATTTCATAGCTATCTGGCAAGAATAGTATACTTGAGAGCGCACACAATCCAATTTTCTATATAACTAGCTATAGCATTTCAAAGGGAAATAACTGTATACATAATTGATGAGTGCATAAAAACTATACATTACTAATATAAACCTTTGATATAAATTTCATAGCTATCTGGCAAGAATAGTATACTTGAGAGCGCACACAATCCAATTTTCTATATAACTAGCTATAGCATTTCAAAGGGAAATAACTGTATACATAATTGATGAGTGCTACTTATTTACTTAGACTTGTCATATTAGTAGTTATACCTGTAGCAGTTTCTACTGCTTTAAGTGTATTGGGATCAACATCCTTTACAACCTCCTTTAAACACTTTGCTCCTTTACCAATATTTACAAATGCTTGCTCAAGAACCCGTATTGTAGGTTTCACTGTTCTGTCTTTCCTCCATGTAAACAAAACTTCCTTATTCTGTGCCGGCAAATCACGATCACATTTCTCTTTGATACTCTCTATATCTTCTACAGACAGTCCAAGTTCTATTCCTAGTTGGAAAACTATCTTACCAATCAGCGGTGCTAATATATCTAAAATTTCATCCGATGGTATACAGTCTAAAATATCGTCAGGAATACCTATATGGAATAAGAATTAAAATATATCTACAGAGAATTCATCAAAACTAATCAAAGACTCAAATTGCAGGGTTACTCTGAATGGTTTTTTTTAAACAATGGAATATTGATTATCCTGGACAGTAAAATGTGTGTTATGCTTGTGAGAACTGGAGGCTAAAACTTTGCATTAATTTTTCAGCGGGTACTAAATATCAAATATTGTATTGTCTGACTGACATGTACATGTAGACCTTGCAAGGATCCCATATACCACATATAAGTTTCCTTTTACTTATAAATAGTGGGTATTTCGCATACCAAAAAATAATAATTTTGTTTACAGCAGTCGCTGAACCATCACAATGATGTCAAGGACAATAGACAATTAACATACTGAAACTTCGTAAGATAAGGGATCTGCATACAAGATATGAAGCACCAGGGTCTTTTACCTTCTATAGTAACCAGCTTTTTACCAATAGTTAACGCTACCACTGCAACCGCTGGATAGAAATCCTATGTCGAACATTCTGCAAATTTCGTCACAGGCGAGACAAACAATGCCATTCTTTCTAAACTTCTGCTGATTAATGGATATTAAAGTATTTTTCTAAATTATACGTCGATGAAATATTGACACTGCAATGTCAAAAAACAAATTTCTCGCCTGCTTTATTTATCATGATTGAATTTGTGTTGAAATTGTATAATATGAAGGTTCTACTATAATTTTTAAATAGAATTAACATTATCAATATTATCATTGTAAATAAAGTTCAGATGAACCCAGCCAGAAAGAAATCTACACCTTACAACTATATCATATCATACACCAAATATAGTTAACCTTTTGCTTATGGTATCCCAGAAACAGATCTAATTACGAAAATTGACCAATGAACCGTAAAATTGGGATCCAGGTCAGATGAACCCTGACAAACAATAGGTACACCATGCAATCATTCCATACAGTATCTGAAAAACAAATATAACCATAAAAACTGTACATTTACTAATGTACCATGAAAATGAGGTCAAAGTCAGATAAACCCTGCCAGACACCTTACAATCATTCCATATACCAAATATAGTTGGCCTGTTGTTTGTAGTATTTGACAAACAGACAAGACCATGAAAACATAACATTGACCAATGAACCATTAAAATGAGGTCAGGGCCAGATAAATCATGCCACACGGACATATGAACATTACAATCCTTTTATACACTAAATATATTTGACCTATTGCTAATAGTATCTGAGAAATATATCCTATCATAAAAAAAATAGCATGATGAACCATGAGAAAGGTCAAGTTCAGATGAAACCTGCCAGTCAGACATGTACACGTTACATTCATTCAATACACCAATTATAGTTGACCTGTTGCTTATAGTATTTGAGATACAGATTTGATCATGTGAACATAACCTTGATCACTGATCCATGAAATGAGGTCAGGTGAATCCTGTCCAACAGGAACCCATATACTATATATAGTTATAATACTACTCACAGTAAGAGAGAAATTCACATTACTAAAAAATACAATTTTCTTTTATCAAACATTGAACAATGCAAATGAGGTCAATGGTAATATGAAAGACGAAACTTGGTAACATAAGGTATCTGCATACAAGGTATGAAGCAGTCACGTCTTCTACCTTCTGAAATATAAAGCTTTAAACAAATAGTTAACGCCGCCGCCACCAAATTGTAATCCCTATGTCTCACATTCTGCAACTTTTGTCGCAGGCGAGACAAACATGACCAAAAGACAAACAACAGTATACAAAACACAAAATAGAAAAGTAAAGATGAAGCAACATAAACCCAACCAACAATTGGGGGTTATCTCTAAGAAGTAAACTAAATGACTTACTCAAAAGTAAAGACAACTAGAGGCTCAAAAGAGCCTGTGTTGCTCACCTTGGTCTATGTGCATACTTAAAAAAGGACACTCTCCAACATTGTAGATGGGAATAGAATTCAAGACAAAAATTCATGTTTTGGTGATCTTGTATTACTGATCATTTATTCTGTTTAGTTTCTCTATCTTCTTTAGTTTTTGCTCAAAACACAAAAGAGGGTAAAAGAAAATCCTCATTTAAGGGCAATCACTCCTATGAAGAGTGACAGTCTACTAACTAATGTAACTTTATTGGCAAAATTTGACTTGTTAGTAGATCTTGCCTTGCTGATCATTTTTGTGATTTAAAGTGTCTATTTATCTATTATAATTTTTATCATATAAGTCAAAAAGCAAAAAAAAATGGTAAAAATCGTCATTAAAGGGCAATTACTCGAATAAGGAGTCGTTGAATGATTTCCTCCAAATTGTCTTAATTGTAGATCTTGTCTGGCTGATCATTTTTGCTTATTTAGGTTTATATATATCTAATTCATTATAATTTTTAAGATTTAAGGCAAAGTCATCGAAGGGCAATGCCTCTAATAAGGAGTTAACTGACGATTTCGACCATTAGACTTATTTGTAGAACTTGGCTTGCTGATCATTTTTGCAATTTAAAGTTTCTCTCTACCTATCATAGTTATCAAGATAATAGGCAAACATGAAAAACTAGAGGCTCTCAAGACTCTGTGTTGCTCGCCTGATTCAACTTTGGTTTTGGAAATCATGTAAAAATAGATACCCTTACAATGATTGAGGCCAAATTCGGTTTAATATTGGCCCCGTAATTTAATCAAAAGCAGAAGACTTTTGAAAAGTTTACAGAAATTACCAATAAATTCATTGAAATTGTAGAAAATGACTTTATAATGACAATAACTCCAACAAGATGTCAATTGACAATTTTGTTCATCATTTGTTCATGTTGACTGATGTGTAGATCTTCTTTTCTTGATATTTTTGCAGTTTACAGTATATCTCAATCTATAAAAATACATGTATTAAGGTCTTCATCAGCACCTCATAAGGAGCATTTATGCCATGTCTCGTTGAATTCCATTCAGTGCTCCTCTAGAAGAAGCATTTGTATGTATTTCCCGTAGGGTCTTATGTTAAACTAAGTCCCCTGCTGGCAGCATCTTGGATGATGTCCCAGCAACAAAGTAACAACACTTGGTCAACACCTCATTAGGAACATTCATGCCATGTTTGGTTTCATTCTATTCAGTGGTTCTCTAGAAGAAAAACATTTGTATGTATTTCCCATAGGGTCCTATGTTAAACTGACTTCCCCTGCTGGCAGCCATCTTGGATGAAAAATCAGCTACAAAGTAAAAACACTTGGTTAGCACCTCAAAAGAAACATTCATACCATGTTTGGTTTCAATCCATTAAGCAGTTTTCTAGAAGAAGACATTTATATATATTTTCCATAGGGTCCTTTGTTAAACTAAGTCCCCCGTTGACAGCCATCTTGGTTGATGGATTTGCTACAAAGTAAGAACACTTGGTCAGCACCTCATAAGGAACATTCATGCAATGTTTGGTTTTATTCCATTCAGTGGTTCTCTAAAAGAAGACATTTGTATGTATTTCCGTATAGGGTCCTATGTTAAATTAAGTCCCTCTCTGGCAGCCATCTTGGATGGTTTATCGGCTACAAAGTAACAACACTTGGTCAGCACCTCACAAGGAACATTCATGTCATGTTTGGTTTCATTTCATTCAGTGGTTCTGTAAAAGAAGACATTTGTATGTATTGTCCATAGGGTCCTATGTTAAACGAATTCCCCCGCTGGCGGCTATCTTGGATGAATGATCGCCTAAAAAGTTACAACACTTGGTCAGCACCTCATAAGGAACATCCATGCCATGTTTTATTTCATTCCATTTAGTGGTTCTCTAAAAAAAGACATTTGTATGCATTTCCCATAGGGTCCTATGTTAAACTAAGTCCCTCTCTGGCAGCCATCTTGGATTATTGATCGGCTACAAAGTAACAAGACCTGGTCAGCACCTCATAAGGAACATTCATGCTATGTTTGGTTTCAATCCATTCAGTGGTTCTATAATAGAAGACATTTGTATGTATTGTCCATAGGGTCCTTTGTTAAACTAAGTTCCCCTGCTAGCAGCCATCTTGGATGATTGATTGGCTACAAAGTAACAACACTTGGCCAGCACCACATTAGGATCATTCATGTCATGTTTGGATTCATTCCATCAAGTGGTCCTCTAAAAAAAACCATTTGTATGTATTTCACATACGGTCCTATGTTAAACTAAATCCCCGCTGGCGGCCATCTTGGATGATTGATCGCCTACAAAGTTATAACACTTGGTCAGCACTTCATATGGAACATTCATGCCATGTTTTATTTCATTTCATTTAGTGGTTCTCTAAAAGAAGACATTTGTATGTATTTCCCATAGAGTCCTATGATAAATTAAGTCCCTCTCTGGCTTCCAACAGGGATGATGGATCGGCTTCACAGTAACAACACTTGGTCAGCATCTCATCAGGAACATTCATGCCATGTTTGTTTCATTCCATTCAGTGTTTCTCTAAAAGAAGACGTTTGTATGTATTGTCCATAGGGTCCTATGTTAAACGAATTCCCCCGCTGGCGGCCATCTTGGATGATTGATCGCCTACAAAGTTACAACACTTGGTCAGCAGCTCATAAGGAATATTCATGCCATGTTTCATTTTATTCCATTTAGTGGTTCTCTAAAAGAAGACATTTGTATGTATTTCCCATAGGGTCCTATGTTAAACAAAGTCCCCAACTGACTGGTGGCCATCTTGGATGATGAATCGGCTTCAAAGTAACAACACTCTGTCAGCACCTCATAAGGAACATTCATGCAATGTTTGGTTTTATTCCATTCAGTGGTTCTCTAGAAGAAGTTCAAAATGTAAAATGTTAACGACGACGACGACGGACGCTAAGTGATGAGAAATGTTTACTTGGCCCTTCGGGCAAGGTGAGCTAAAATGGTAAAATTTGTAATTTAAGATCAATTACTCCTATGTGAAGTTGTCCCACAGTTATCACGTATATAGACAATTGGTAGAGCTCAACATTCTGAAAATATTTGTTGCAGTCAGATGTTCTCTATTTATAACGGTTTTCAAAATAATAGACAAAAGTTGCATTTTACCCCTATGTTCTATGTTCAGCCATGTCGGCCATCTTGGTTGGCAGGTGGAGTCATCGGACACATTTAAACTAGATACACTAATGATGATTTTGGCCAAGTTTGATTAAATTTGGTCCAGTAGTTTCAGAGGAGAAGATATTTGTAAAAGTTAACATCGTCGGACGACGAAGACAGACGACTTTCACCAAGTGATGAGAAAAGATCACTTGGCACTCCAGGCCACGTGAGCTAACAATGGAAATGGTTTCAAACAATTCCAAAATTGCAGATGTTCGATTTCATTTGTCTGCAGTTCATAGATTTGTGTTAAAAATTGTATGATTCGTTGAATACACAACAATTGCTAAGTTTATATATTTTTAATGAAAAATTACTATTACTAAGTTCGGAAAAATTGGTAAAAGTTTTACCTATGTTATATTTAGTTTATCTATTAGGGCTTTTCTTTTTAGACAAAACATATTTTAACCTTACGTTCTTTTTTTTTTTTGCCATGGCAGCCATGTTTGTTGACAAAACAATATTTATACTGCATATGAACTCAAAGGATTATTTACTCAAAATTTTGTTTAAATTGGTTCAATAGTTTCTTAAGTGAAGAAGATCTTTATAATAGTATACGATAGTAAGTCAATAAACTGTTAACACAGAGAAAAAATGTATGAAGGCCGTACCTTGACCTATAATGGTTTACTTTTATAAATTGTTACTTGGATAGAGAGTTGTCTCATTGGCATTCATACCACATCTTCCTATATCTACATAAATTTGTAAATTACAAGTTGCAAACTCATGCAAAAAGGAATCAAGATTACCTATTGTTTACATAATATACCCATAATCAGATATAATATCAAGATAAACATAACATTTATGATTTGTTCCGTACAGAAAATTAAGAAAAAAACCTTTATTATTATGCCATATAAAGACCTTTAGATATCAAAGTACTTACTAGATTTCACTTGTTTTCTTCGCCGAACCTGAAAATATCATAATATTAAAAATCAATTTATTTCAATGCTGATGAGTTAAATCTATTATTGATCCATTTTATGTAAAGACAAATTCTAAACAGTTATCAAAGAAGCAAGAGGTTGAGACCACATGCAAGACATGTTCAAATTTCTCATTGTAAGGGGCATAAGCTACGATTAAGACCACAATTCAAAATGCGAGTCTTTTTCTTTCAATTACTAAACATTATTAAACTAGAGGCTCTCAAGAGCCTGTGTCGCTCACCTGACTCTACTTTGGTTTTAGAAATCATGTAAAGTTAGATAAAATTCATAACAGATACCCAAATAATGATTGAGGCCAAATTTGGTTTAATATTGGTCCCGTTATTTAATAAAATATCCTGGTGGCCATCTTGAACAGTAAATCGGCAACAAAGTAGCAACACTTGATCAGCACCTCATAAGGAACAATCATGCCATGTTTGGTTTCATTCCATTCAGTGGTACTCTAAATGAAGACATTTGTATGTACTGTAAATTCAGAAATTATTGCGTGCATTTATTATTGCGATTTTTTCATTTTAGAATAAAATGCGATTTAAATTTTTGTGATATTGATAAAAATCCTGTTTAATTCATATAAAAAATTTCAAAATGCGAGTTTAAATTATTGCGATTATTATCCTGTCGCATTTTTCGCAATAATAAAAACATCGCAATAATTTCTGAATTTACAGTATTTCCCATAGGGTCCTATGTTAAACTAAGTCCCCCGCTGTCGGCCATCTTGGATGATGGACCAACTGCAAAGTAACAACACTTGGTCAGCACCTCATAAGGAACATTCATGCAATGTTTGGTTTCATTCCATTCAGTAGTTCTCTAAAAGAAGACATTTGTATGCATTTCCCATAAGGTCCTATGTTAAACTAAGACCCCCGCTGGCGGCCATCTTGGATAATGGATCGGCTGCAAAGTAACAACACTTGGTCAAAAATTCATAAGGAACATTCATGCCATGTTTGGTTCCATTCCATTCAGTGGTTCTCTAAAAGAAGACATTTGTATGTTTTTCCCGTAGGGTCCTATGTTAAACTAAGTCCCCCGCTGGCGGCTATTTTGGATGATGGATTGACTGCAAAGTAACAACACTTGGTCAACACCTCATAAGGAACATTCATGCCGTGTTTGGTTCCATTCCATTCAGTGGTTCTCTCAAAGAAGACATTTGTATGTATTTCCCATAGGGTCCTATGTTAAACTAAGTCCCCCGCTGGCAGCCATCTTGAATGATGGAGTAATATCATATAAACTTTATATTATCAAAGATCCACGTAAAAAAGTAGAACAAAAGTACCAAACTCAGAGACAAATTCAAAAAGGGGGCATACATAAATATTGACAAATTTAAACGATATCAATCAACTGAAGAAGTGAAAAATAACGGCCATATTCATGACTTGGTACAGGTATTTTTCTGAAGAAAAAATTGGGTTAAACCTGGTTTATAGCCAGCTAAACCTCACACTTGTACAATGTTGTATGACAGGTGTTTGTAGTTTCATTAGATTGACACCATTGGGTGAGTAACCCAAACAGATGTAAAAGGGTAAATGTGACAATAATTAAGATCTTGCAGCCAAAACATACGTTGCAGACATATAATACAACTAACTAAAAAATTCAAACAAAAATACAAATAAATATAACAAAGACGCAAAAAAAAAAGATGTAATAGATACTAAATTTTCAATTTCACAATGACGTCAACAAAAAAAGTGTTTGTAATTGATAGCACATGTATACCATATATAGTATGTACACTAGTCACTTTATCGATAAGTAAAAATTAAGTAAATATAAATAAAAGGGTAAACAAAATAGAAACAACACTGCAAAAACCCTTTGTGTCCGAATCAAACCACAAGCCCCACCTGCACCAGGAATGCCTAAAGCCAAAATAGAGTCATATCAAAATTCATAAGAACAAAAGAAACATGATGAGACAAATGGAGGGGAAACTAAATTAAAACGAAAAGATACAGAACAAAACTTCAGAATCTTTAACTTAATATGAAATCAGATGAACACTGCAAGACAGACATGTATACCTTAAAACCATACCATATGCCAAATATAATTATATATAAAAAGATAGATACAATTGCACCAATCCATTGCAGTAATAACTTACCACACATAATTTATGTGTTGTTATTTCCATTTTTCTCAATCCGTTATCCAATTCTGCGAAACTGAATTCATCATTCTCTTTCAAATGCATAAGTGTCAAAAATTTGACAATCTGTATGTTTCCTGGGTAATTGTCTTCCAAGTCATTCCATACCATTTGGTCCATTTCAAGATGGAGAGCCAATTCATGTAGCATGCGTGTCTCACAATTAACAGATAAATGAAGCAACTCTGTGTTACTTGGAATCTGAGATAATGCATCTTCACTCAAACCTAAAATTGATTTAAAAACACATAAACTTTGTCCAAATAGTATGTAAATATACTAGATAAGATGAAGTAACTATTCAACATTGAAAGTTATTGGGTTACGCAATACTTCCAACACACGCAGTAATCTTAGATTAGTTTTACAACTGCAATCCACCAAGGATTATTATGGTATATTTAAAAGATATAATAACAAAGTTACAGCAGATTAATTGTAAATTAAAAAAGAGGAATGTCTGAGTTATAACAGGCATCTTTCTAACCAAAGCGCTTTTTTTGGGATTTACCTTCATCATGTTCATCAGTGATTTGATTTAGCATTGACTTTTTTTTTATTGAAACGAGAACAATGAAAGATGCCACTCACTTTATGTGTAACAACTGTTTCTTATTACTTTGAATCTATGTTCATAAAATAAATCTTAATGCACTATTTTAAATGTAGTATCTACTTTCATCTGTTGACAACAATCTTAAACAATTTACTCATAAATCATGCAAGTCATTATATAAATAACACATAGCTGAGAGGTGGATAGAGCAGATTGTTGCCCCGAGAAAACATTGTCAACCTAGGCAGAATGTTTTGTTATTAATGTCTAGCAAAACGTTTAACTATGACGTCTTGTACATAAAAACAATCCGTATCTACAAAAGTGCACAATTAATCAATCATCTCTGTGAAGGGTAATAGAGAATTTGCCATCGGATAAAGTAAAGTATCTCCCTCATATTAACCAGTCAAAATCTGGCATTTTGACATGAACTTTGATAAATTTTATTAATTTACAGCAATTCATCTTAACTCAACTTTCAAAACATCTATTTTTAATTTCTAATTTCTAATTTCTAATACATTAATACATGTATCTTTGCCATGTATTTTTTTGGTAATTGTAAACTGAGATGGTGAAAATCCATTACTTTTCCAACATGTCCACAGACTTTTTAATCTGAATTATGTGAAATATAATTATGTTGAAAGATACTATATTGTCTAAGCTTTATCTTCTCCAAAGCTCATCACAAGCATAGGATATATTCACAAGTTAAATATTACCTCTTGTAAATAATATGCAAGTGCAGAAAGATAAACGATATATATTTACCTGGACAATTAGCATCACACTGCTTTTGTTCCTGTAAAATAGAAAATAACTCTACAATTCAAGTACTTGTAAATTACATGTAATCAACTTACATGCTCATCGTTTCACAAAAAAAACCACTTTGTTATATGTGTAAAACTAATGGCAAAAACACACAAAATGAATAATACCGTTTTGACAAATGTTGATTGTGACTACAAGTAAAGTCTGGTATATTTATTGAAATATTAAACATACGCCTTTTATATCCTTACACGTCAATGCACACGGCTACAAAACTATTTTCAATTCAATGTTTGTATGAACAAAAGAAAGGGCATTAACATGGACCAAGAGCTCGCAGCTTAATGCCAGTTTGAGTGGAATTAGTTGGTTATCATATACACAACACTACATGCAGTAAAGCATATATCTATTGATTGGTGGTAGAGGTTACATAAAAAATAGTTACAACGGGTAGTGAATTCAAGCAAATAGAGTTAAGCAATCTTATTAAAAAATACAACTATTTTTTTAAACGTTTACATTCCTTTCTAAGTCGAACTAAGGAGCATGACAACAATTGCAAGAATTTAAGATGGATAGCAGTCAGCAAGTGGAACCAGAGTATTTTTGGAGCTACAATCATAAGCAACAGTGACATCCATCTTCTTGACACTAAGTAAGATTCTGGCTAGTTTTTTTCCGAATTTAAAAGGAGATAACTTTAAAAAAAATTGAATAATGAAAGGCCAGTAGCCCAAACATGCCTAATAAGGAATCAAGTAATAATTTTCGATACTTTATATTCTTGTTTTTCTTGTCTTGCTGTTCATTTTTCCAGTTTTCTATTTCTAGTGGTATTTTTGAAGATTTTTGCAAACTCTATAAAAATTGCTTAAACATTTTCATGTATGGACAGTTTCTACTATATGGAGTTTATCAACAAATTCAGATATATTTTACTATGGAAAGATCTTATTTAACAGGTCACTGTTGTTGTTCATGAACAGTTTCTATTCATTTATTTAAGTTTTCAAGATGATAGCCGATCAGAAAACAATTTTCCTATACATGTAGTTTCTTACTAATCAACATTGAAAAAAAGGTAAATGATCATTGAAGGGTAAATATTAAAAAAATAAGATGTGGTATGATTGCCAACGAGACAAGAAACCAACTCACACAAAAATTAACAACTATGGGTCACCGTACATCCTTCAATAATTAGTAAAACCCATTCCGCATAGTCAGCTATAAAAGGCCCCGAAATGACAAATGTAAAACAATAAAAAGAGAAAACTAATGGCCTCATTTATGTACAAAAAAATGTAAAAGTGACGCTACCCAAATATGTACTTGATCTGTGTTTTGTGGTAATACGCATTGTGAATAAGTTTCATAACATTTAGTTGAGGCAAACTTAAGTGACAGAACGGAAACGAAGAATTCAGCAATTTTTCCATTTGTAAAGGGGCATAACTCTAGAGCGGTAAAAGTGACGGCACCAAAATTCGAACTTGATCTGTGCTTTGTGGTAATTAGCATTGTGCATAAGTTTCATAACATTTGGTTGAGGCAAACTAAAGGAAGAGAACAGAAACGAATATTTTAGCAATTTTGCCATTTGTAAAGGGGCATAACTCTAGAACTGTATTAGTGACCGCCACCAAAATTCCAACTTGATCTGTGTTTAGTGGTAATAAGCATTGTGTATAAGTTTCATAACATTTGGTTGAGGCAAACTAAAGTAAGAGAACAGAAACGAAAAATTCAGAATTTTTTCATTTTTGTAAAGGAGCATAACTCTAGAACGGTAAAAGTCACACCACTAAAATTCAAATGTGATCTGTGTTTTGTGGTAGTTAGCATTGTGTATAAGTTTCATAACATTTGGTTTAGGCAAACTAAAGTAAGGGAACGGAAACGAAAAATTCATCAATTTTTCCATTTGTAAAGGGGCATAACTCTAGAACGGTAATAGTGACGCCATAAAAATTCAAACTTGATCTGTGTTTTGTGGTAATAAGCATTGTGTATAAGTTTTAGAACATTTGGTTGAGGCAAACTAAAGTACGTACGTACGAACAGACGGACAAGGGTAAAACTTAATGCCCCCTCCGCTACGGCGGGGGCATAATAATGAATCTCTAACAGACAATGTCATGGCAAAAAAAAAAGACAAACGAGAGGACAAACAACAGTCTACAAAACACAACATAGAAAACTAAAGACTGAGCAACATGAACCCCACCTGAAAAGTCGGGTGATCACAGGTGCTTTAGAAGGATAAGTAGAACAAATGTAGAACCTACATCTCATGTAGCACCTGTCGTGGTGGCTCATGTAAGTACAAATTCAGAGATAAGTGTTATACAAAGTGGAGCACATTTGAGGAAATGAGGACTGGATTTTCAAGATTTGTAGACCTTATCTAGCTATCCATTTTTAATGTTGTAAAAGGTACTCTTACCTCTGTAAGAGGTAATTAAAAAATCATGTACAGGTGACTGATGATTTCCAACATGTTGTTTTATTTGTACATCTGGTCCTGTGATCATTTTTTACATTATTTCCCGTATCTATTTATAATATTCCAACTAAAATGAACATCACAGGGACAACAACTCCAAAATTGGTTGTCCTATTTTTCTGTAAATTTCAGGATAGATTTTCTAACTGTTTGAATTCTCTTGGTTTTGTTCTTACTACTTTTTTCTCTTTTTTTGATAAAAGCCAAAAGTTGCAATTTCAAGAAAATGAACTATTTCTAGAAAAGGCTTTCATGTTTGTTGCTGAAAGAAAATGGTCACAATCTATAAACTAGTCATACCAACAAACATTCACATTGGTTTTAAAACTATTTAGAGGTTTCAAATGGAAATTTTCATATAGTATCAAAGCACAAAACAACTTTTTATTCCACATTGCTTAGATAATTTCTAAAAGTAATATATATGTGGACCAACTGTAAACTACATATTGATGACACTGCTCTTCTTCCTTATAAATAAAGGTTTAAACAAAGAGGTGTCATAGCCACATTAGCATCCCTGTGTTCCACTGTCTGATACATTCGTCTCTTGCTGTTCATCTATGTATCCTACCAACATCAACAAGCTAGTAGAAATATAAATTTGTCTCTGAATTTATTGACCTTTTTTTGAAGGTTTTCCAAATTTTATAGCTTAGTATGCAGAATGGGTTTTGCTCATTGTTGAAGGCAGTACCATAACCTCTAATTATTGACTTCTAAGTCATTTGGTTTATGGTGGAGAGTTGTCCCATTGGCACTCATATACCATATCTTCTTTCTTATACAGATTTGAAAGATAGAATGTCTTACATATATGTATATAAATTGAGTAGCAATACGGTAGTAATCTTCTTCTGCAATAAGGGAACTTGTCGATAGGCTTAATAAAATGCTTCGTTGAGCGCAGCCTGATACGAACGCAGAGGTCAAATCCTGAACAGTTGGGGCGAATTTGAACACAATATTCAAGCTTGATACTGTCTGAATTTGGATTGTGATCAATTTTTTGAAAGGTTTCTGACACAAAAAAAAAATGTGTTCAAAGATCTTAAAAATCTATTGCGCAATACTGTGCAATTGAAGATTTCTTCTTGAAAATTTTCAAAAAATTTGAAATTTCAAAAATTTTGAAGAAAAAAGTATGAGCCCTTCAAAAAATTGGAACCCCCTTTGGAGTAATTACCCCCAAACTCAATCCCAGCCTTCCCTTTATAGTATGGAACCTTGTAGTACAATTTTAGAGAGAACCATACACTTAAACACAAGTTATTGTCTGGAAACTAGAAAATGTTTCTTTTTGGTCCCTTTTTGGCCCTAATTCCTACATGTTTGGGGCAATTACCCCAAAACTCAATACCAGCCTTCCCTTTGTGATATGGAATCTTGCGATACAATGTCAGAGAGATCCAAACACTTACACACCAGTTATTGTCCAGAAACTACAAAAGTGCTTGTTTTTGGCCCCCTTTTTAGTCCCTAATTCATAAACTGTTGGTACCAAAACACCAAAATAAATCCCTAATTTATTTTTGTGGAATTGAACCTTCTATTAAAATTTTATAGAGATCTATTCACTTAAACAAAAGTTATTGCCCGGAAACAAAATGTGTCTTCGGACAACGCAGACAACATCATAGCATTATACGAACCCAAAAAATTTTTGCGGTCGTATAAAAATCAAAGTCCAAATATCTCTCCATGATGTACCAATAAATGTATATACATACCTTTTTCTTGTTCCAAATACTCCAGTTATCTTTAATGTTTTCACCGTGTTCACAAAGACACTCTTCAATTTCCGAAGCCATCTTGTTTTCTGAAGTAAAGCAGCTTAATTTTGAGCAGGAATACTCAGTGTGGAAGGGTAACTTGCTGCTGGCTTTACAATGGATGGAGGACTGATAAAATTCCGAGATTCTCTCTAAAGTAATAAACAAACAATCCCGGACACTGGTGGCTATATCAGGTATTATCAAACCCTTGGATCGCTTGTGGACTAGGTACAGTAAGATCTTGTTGCCTTCTACACAGACAACGATATCATGCTCTTTATCAACTGATAACCCAACAAACCCAGAAAACATAAGTTTCCTTCCACGGTATTGTTTTAAGGTCCATATACTCAGACATGCGCATATTAGACGGTTTGGTAAGGCTGGAGGTATGATGGTGCCTTTAAAAGCAAAGGCCAAACTAACAGTCTTCTCTGGTGTACATTCTTGTGTCAAGTAATCTGTATTGTTTCTTTGTGTCAGCATACTTGGTACAAAGAAGTGTTCTATTGGTAGCCGACTTCCTGTTTTTGTATCATATCTACGCTGTTCAGATACGATATCTAGATGTATCAGCATATCAAATATGTACTCTTTAAATGGCAAAATCTGACTGAATTCTTTTTGCTCCCAAATCTGGTAGAGGTCTTCTCTTCGTATCATTCCATATTCAGACATCTTTTTGAAGGTTTTGCTTGTTCCATCTTCTTTTGGCCAAAATGCAACATCTATAAAAATGAAATAAAGAATATTTTTAAAATTTGAAATATAATTTATATTATGAGGTATTACCGGTCTATAAAAGCTACATAATAAAACAATTTGTACTCACCTAAATCATCACTGGAAAACAAATGTATCCTAATAATTCGATTAAATGTCCTTTATTTCAGAACACATAATTTTTTTCTATTCATGTTATAAAGGGATTTGATGATCAAAATTGAATCATTTCCCTTTTGGAAGAACATAATCCCAAACAAGGCTTGCATATGCTGTTGGAGAACTGCTAGTTTTGAAATGTGTGTAAATATTTTTTGTAGGAGAAACACAAAAGATGATGTACGACAGTCATCCTTGATGACATCCTGTCAGTCAATGATTGTCTTTCATCTTTTTAATTTTCCAGCTACTCCCCGGTAACTATATATTCTAAGTCAAAATAATATTTTGAATGTATATTAACTTGATCAAAATAATACATTTTTAGTTTCGAGGTACGTTTCCAAGCTGTGAGGGTATATAAAGAAGACATTTATGTTAAATCAACAAAATGGGTTTTTTTTTTTTGAAATACTGGTTATTTCAAGATTCACTGTTAAGTTTTGTCTTAATCAGTTCAATAAATTTTGAGAATTTTATCATAATGTAAGATGACATTTACAACGATTTGAGCAAAATGTATTCAAAAAATCAAAATCACGCTGCATCATGATAGAATATAGTGTGGACCAATAAATGATCAATTCTATTACAGAAGCCTACAGCTTATTGGTTAAAGATGAATATCTTATTCTACAGGCTAGTAACAACCTTGTTTTACAGTTGAGTGATTTTAAATCATAGTCACCTGTACAAATCCACTCATTTTATTCTAAGGCTAGAACAATGCATAAGTAAAATAAAATTGCTGAATCAGCAAACACGAATCGTGTCTATATAATATGTCTCTTACTGAAGACTCCGACTCGGGTCTTTCACAAAACAGCCTAGTAGCGGACATTATGTCAATCTAAGCGTCTGGTGACGAAACTAGTTTTTCGGGGTTCTCACAAATGGCTGAGTCAGTCCACATTTCACAACATAAAAAGAGGAAACTAATGTCGGTCGTGGTTCCCCTAGAAACTGTCAAGAAATTACAAAAAGTCAAATGAAACTAGCGCAAGTAAACAAATTAATAAAAGAGGCCCGGGTAAGGGACCAGGAAAGAATAAGAAGGGTAAAGCTCCCATAAAATATGGAAAGAACACAACTTCTTCAGATAAATAAAGAGAAAATGAATTCAGAATAATTTATTCCAAACTAGAATTTTTATTATACAGTCACATGCATAATAGTAATGCCATTATGTTTGAATCGAGTGCACCAGAACACCCGGCTGCACTAGAAGTAGAAGACGAAGGTGAAGGTGAAGTTGATTTCAGTCAATATGACATTTTTGGTAACAATAACAATGAAGATGATGATGCTGAGTTAGAGCAAAAGAGCGAGGAAGAGTTTTCTTATGCTATACCGAAAATTTTCGAAGATGATGACAAGTTTGGTGATGACACACATAAGAGTATCGCTGCTCTTGTAAACGCTGTTACAAATCGTAAGTCTGTTATAACAGAAATAGCAAAGAATTATAAAGTTCCTGCAAATAGTAAGTCGTCGTCACCTCCTAAGGTAAACCCTGAGATTTGGCACCTGTTGAATCGTCAGGCAAGGAGTGATGATTTATCCTTTCAACCTATACAAAAGATCCTGGGTTTTGGCATTGTACCTGTAATGCGTACTGCAGAAGCACTTACAAAACCTGACGTGTTAAGAATGGTGGCTGAAATAAGAGTCGACATAAATAATGCCGTCAATGCTATGTGCAGCATTTTTTAAAATTTCCTATGTAAGACGCATGACACTTAAAAAAACATGGATCAGAAGTATCATCAACTTTGCACATTACATTTAGATGTTACTGAATATTTGTTTGGAGATGATGTATCCAAAAAGGTGAAAGACATTAATGATGCCCAGAAAATGTTCAAAAGGAGTTGAAATTACAGTAACTTCACAAAACTGGAGACAAGGGGGTTGCAGCTATGGTTGCCCCCCAGGTATAAACAGGGGCAGAGGAAGATACCAAAACAGCAGTTATGGTCAAAGAGGCATAAAAAACTCCCGCTACAGAGGGAGAGCTGGTTACAGAAACCAAAGAGGCAGGAGATATTAGATGTAAATAGCTCACAATCTTGCTCTTGTATAGTTAGGTCTATCGGTTTTGGTTTGACAAAACTGAAACAGAACTAATCGATATTGAAATTCAAATTTTATTGTCAAAAAATTCAATCCAAATTTCAAAACATGGGAAAGATGAATTTATATCAAATATTTTTCTTGTTCAGAAGAAGAATGGCAAATTAAGGCCTGTAATAAATTTGAAAGGTCTGAATCAATATGTGAAATATTTTCATTTCAAACAGGAAAATTTACAGTCTGTTTTGTTGAATATTAGAGAGAATGATTATTTTATATCAATAGATTTATGTGATACATATTTTTCAATTTCAATGAACAAAAAATATAGAAAATATTTGAAATTTGTTTGGAAAGATCAGATTTATGAATTTACTTGTCTTTGTTTTGGGTTAGCAAGTGCACCTAGAATTTTTACAAAACTTATGAAAGTAGTTTTTTCTCATCATGCTCATATACGAAACCAAGGAGTAGGGTCTTTTTTGTACATAGATGATTCATTATTACATAGTCCCTCTGAAAACATTTGCTTTGAAAATACTGTCATGTTGAGAAATCTCTTACACTCTCTAGGGTTCATAGTTAATAGAGAAAAATCAGTATTCATTCCAACACAGAGAATAATTTTTCTAGGATATTTGATTGATTCTGTGCAATTTAAAGTGTTTCTGACAGAGGAAAAAATACAAAAGATTTTGAAAAGTGCAAACAAAATCTATGATTTATACATTCCTGTTATCAGGGAAGTAAGTTCTTTAATAGATTTATTTACTTCAGCTTCATGTGCAGTTTTATTAGCACCAATGTTAATAGATATTTACATATTGAGAAAATTTTAGCTCTGAGCAATAACAATGACAATTATGATGGTATCATGAGTCTCTCTGAAAATTCAAGAAATGAAATTTTATGGCGGATTAAAAATGTAGCTAGGAATGAAGGGGACAGTATAAGTTTTGGTACTCCTATGGAGTATATTAAAACTGGCGCATCTAAAATTGGATGGGCAGCCGTATATGGAAAAAATAAGACTCAAGGAAGATGAATGAAATCGAAAAGCATTTCACACATTAAAATATTAGAACTTTTAGCTATAAAATATGCACCATTGGAAAAAACATTTCAAATTCTCATATTTGTATAAAATCTGATAGTTCTACAGCAGTTCAATATATAAATAACATGAAAGGTAGTGTTGTAGCACTGTTGGGAGCAGTAAGAGAAATATGCTTGTGGGCTGCTGACAGGAATAATTTTATTACAGCAGTCTACATTGCAGGGAAAGATTATATTACTCCTGATCAGTTGTCAAGAAATTTTAGTGACTCTTCTGAATGGAGTTGAAAGAAAATGTATTTAGAAATATTTGTGGGCATTTCTTTCAACCAAATTTTGACTTATTTGCTTCTAGACTTAATAAACAGTTAATAAGTAAATATGTCTCATGGTTTCATGGTTTCCAGATCCAGAGGCTATGGCTTCTGATGCTTTTTTTTTTCTAGGAATAACAAGTGAAACTGTGAGCTACTGCTCACTGATGATACCCCCAGCCCAAATATTTGACGGTAAACATGAAGTTGTTGAGTGATTAATCTGAAAACGCATCACACGGTATAGCTGACTTATATAAACACTGAAACCAAATTTCAGAAATCCTTGTAATGTAGTTCCTGTGAAAAATACGACGAACATTTTCAACCTGGACGTGTTGTGTAAAATGATGTAAGTGGTCGGTAAACAGGAAGTTGTTGAGTGATCAATCTGAAAACGCATAACACGGTAAAGCCGACTTATATAAACCCTAAAACAAAATTTCAGAAACCCTTGTATTGTAGTTCCTGAGAAAAATGCGACGAAATATTTTCATGGGACGGAAGGACGGACTGATGGATTGACGGATGGATGGATAGACAGAGGTAAAACAGTATACCCCCACTTTTTAAAGCGGGGGTATACTTATTTACCATATGTTTTTCCTCCTTTCAGTATCATAGCAAGAATGTTGAGCAAGATAGAATGGAACATGTGAGAATGGACTTATATCTCTAAAATTTCAGGGCGGATAGATCTCAACCTCATAAACATTTTACCCTATGTCAGATTTGCTCTGAATGCTTTAGTTTCAGAGATATAAGCCAAAAACAGCTAGCATTTTACCCCAATGTTTTTTTTCAGCCATGTCGGCCATCTTGGTTGGCGGGCTAGACCATCGGACACATTTTTTAAACTAGATAGATATAAGAAGATTTGGTATGAGTGCCTATGAGACAAATCTCCATCCAAGTCACAATTTATTAAAGTAAACCATTATAGGTCAAAGTACGGTCTTCAACACGGCGCCTTGTCTTTTCAAATACATTACTGATGATTGTGGCCAAGTTTGTTAAAATGTGTCCCAGTAGTTTCAGAGGAGAAGATTTCTGCAAAAGTTAACGACGACGGACGACGGACGCCAAGTGATGAGGAAAGCTCCATTGGCCCTTTGGGCAAGGTGAGCTAAAAAAAAAAAGAATGGTGCTTCTTAACACCAAAAATATATTTTTAAGACTCAAAATGTCTCATTTACAATGAAATGCAAGGTTATTTTTCTACAACTGTCAAATTCAAAGAAAATTTTTGTTGAACCTTTTTCGAAGGAAACCAGATGTGTCGTTCTATGATTTGGTGGTATTACACCCAAAAGATCAATAGCTGATCACTGGATTGATCATATATAGTGTATTTCTAACAGACAAAGTTGATATTAAAAGAGAGGGGGGGAAAGATACCAGAG